CAAAACTAACATGAAGCTTGTCAGTCCCTGTGAATCACCCACAAAACTCCTAGGCAGGGATATGTTTTATTTGACTGCGAAAAAAATATGTCTCTATCAATGTTAATCAGAGCACATCAATGACTATCTGAATGTATTGATGGCAGATTAGACAAGGTTCATAATGTTTTTCTTCTAACTTTTAACTGTGTTTGTTTTGCAAATGTTATATTTGTCATGTAGCAACATTTTAATATTTTTCGCTGCTAAATTTTTGTGATTGGAGGTGTTCTTTTTAAAGGCACCGGGGTGGTATTTTCAAAAGTGGATAGCTCCCATTTTCAAAAAATTATGTTTGAAAATTTAATAGCAAGTGATCTGCAGGCCTTAATATTTACTCATTATGCCTTTTATAATTATGAATGCTAATGCTCACTTTGTCTTTAAACTGAAAAGAATATGTAGATGTAAGTTTTTAGGGCCTGGTTCTGTATATATTTGTTAATTAATTCATGTTGTTTACATAAGATCCTATTATTATTAGGGTTGATAGTGAACTCACTCAGATGAGGACCATTCCTGTGTAGACAGCTGAAAGGAAGAAATAGTGTGTTTTGTAAATGAACATTTAAAAATGATTTTTTCAATTTGCATTTAGTATTCAATCATTAATTGATTTAATTGAGAATAAGCTGAATAACTGAAAAGAAACCAATAGTTACATATTTTTCATGATCTTATATGAATTCTTTATCTGTTTTCCAAGAAGATCTGGTAAGCTGAGGAAAAATATAATATTAAATGGAGATAGCATCTCTCAAAATAAAGGTTTTCATTTACAAGCTGCACGCAACCTCTTTTGCATAGTCTAGATATCCTGGTGAATGCTCCTTCACTTTTTTAATGTCAGCTTGAAAGAAGTAAGAATATATTTGTAATATCTTTAAGCACTATATAAAGAACCCAATCCCAGTAGAACGGAAGCGGCATATTAAACAGGTTTTTATGTGGCAACAGCGTATAGAGATCTGCATGAAGTGTTTCCTGCTTTACAAAATTATTGTTGAAAAAACCCTGTGTTTGATAGAAACAGTTGAGTTAGCATCTAAACTACTGTAATAATATTGCCTTACTGCCCCTCAGTTTTTAATTGAACAAGTACCCATTCAAGGGAACATGGAAGTACACCTGCATAGCTAGACCTGCCTGCAGACCAGGCATAGGAGAGTTTCAAACCCTCCCCATTTGGATAGATAAAAAACCTCAGAACTGTGGAATGGAAAAGACAATAATTGAGAAGAGAGAAGGGAAAAAGAAAGGAACATTTGTCAAAAGAGGCCTGACTTTCTCTTCATAATGTAAACTGCATCAAGGTAATAGTGACTGACTTTGCTAATGTTAGCTAACTGCACCAAAGACAGTAGAACTATTATAATGAGGCGGGGAACTAAAGCTGGTGACTTATTGTTTGCAAAAGGAAAAAGTTTTTCAAAGAATAATGTCCAATTCATAATTTCAGTATTTTATAGTAATAGCACTACCTTTCGGGCAGAAAGGTTTAATAGCGATTACTATGGGGTTCACTATCCTCATAAATATGTTTGACTTATCTGTTGAAAGGGCATTATAAAAAACTGATACAATTAATTGTTAAAGTGTATTGAATCCTCACGGCCATATGAAGTGATGTGCCAAATTAGCCAAAAGCTTGGTTGTGTTTTTACTTGCTTGCTGTATTTATATTAACACAAATTTTTAAAACTGTCAGTTCCTGTGGAGATCAGACAGAAATTCCATACTTTCAAATATCTCTGCATTTCTGACAGCTGTATGGTGGCATGAAATGCTGTAATTCTTCACTGGAGGTCCAGTCATAACCGCACTGGAGGCTGATGTCAGAGGCAGATCTACCACCTTTACAAACGTTCAGTAGTGTGTTTCATCAGAGATACCCTAGTGATTTAAGAAATGCACTGTTTTTCTTCGAAAAGCCTAGTATGCACTTTTGCTTTGTATAGTCTAATTTGTTCATGGCAAACTTATGTTGACCTAATACACCGTAATGGCTCATTCGGAGCTGTTGTGATGTATCATGTCGACAAACCACATATTACATGTGCCAAAAAGTGTGTGTTTACTTGACGGATTAATGGCCCTTTCATAATCATTATGGCACCATGATCTGGAATTTAAAGGTCACTGAACTGATAGAAGAGAGAGAAACCTATTTATTTCAAAGTTAACGTGTTCTCATACAAAATCTCAAAAGCAGATGTTTGATTTAAAGAAATAAAATACTCTGTCCCCTTTCACCAGAGGGTGTCAAAGCGCTTTAAATCTTCTCTTTCAATGTCTCCCCCATGTTTTTGTCCTATAAAACAGAAATTAAGCATAAAAAATAAAGCAAAATAATGAAGAGTGAGATTTTGGTAATACGTATTTCATCCTCAGCTCATATGACTGGCCTGAGGTATCGGAAGAATTTAAGATTTGTGCATATGAGAGTGATCTTGGTTCTGAAGTCCCCATCCTTAATAACCTGAATAACTGACCCTGTGCTGTTGATATTCAATAGAGGGTTTTTTCCAAAGTAATTTGTATTTTCTCGAGAATATTATTTTACTATAGCGTATGAACAAGACTCAGCCCAAAGCAGTATGACAAAATTTGGAATGATCGATATAATCATTTAAAAGAACCCACAGCGTAACTCACATAACTGCTATTGTAAGTCTGTAGTGGGGACCTTCTGGCTGTGGTTCGTAGCTCTAAAAATGCAATTGAGTTCAAAGAACTTCTTAATAGCAATACTGAATTAGGCACTTTTATTGAGACAGAAATGGTGTATTCCTTAGCATCTTAGGTAAACATTAGCTTTCACCTTCTCACAGTATTTTTCATTAGCTCTGGTTTCTTTGATAGCTATAATTTTTCCAGAACATTCCACATAGAAATTTAAACTTTGTCAAGTGTCATTACTTCACAGAAACTAATTTGTCCTTATTATTCCTCATTACCTTTTATCTTGTAATTGCTCTTTAGAGCTTCATACAATCTGCATATTACATCCCTCTACGTGTGCTTTACTGGTCCTGATTTTTTTTTTTTATAATCAACATGGTCAATATATACAAATTGTAAGCACCAACCTGATTTGCTATCTGTGGTAATTGGATTCTGCATTTAATTACAGGTGGTAATGACATTTTAAGCACCTTATACAGGTGTTTAGGGGTTTTATGAAATGTTAAGCAACATTAAGAAAGTCTAAGCTTCTGGAACATTGCCAAATTTCAGAGGTGCCTTTCAACTCCAAATTGCAGTTTTCATTTGAGGATAATTATAGCTCTGGCCACCTGGACAGCTCCTTGTTGGAATCAAACAGTGCAGAGGCGTAAGTCTGTCTAGAAGCAACACTTCGCATCTTCTCTATTTTTACATGTTTTCATTTTAAATTATTCTAAATATGTTTTGGTTTTTTTTTCCTGATCCCTAAAAATGCTGCCTGACCACTTTTTTTTTTTTTTCCTGTGCTGGTCAAGACTGGTGGCAGAATACAGTATTATGTATCGACAGTGTAGCTGAGACTGGATGACCTTGGAAAGGATATTTGAATTATGCTGATGGCCTCCTTGATCTTGGGGGAGTTTTAATTCACATATATAATTCCAATCTGAGAAAATTAGATGGAGATTTGTTTTGCAGCTAATGGGAAAATATATGGCCAGAACAAGGAGTTTCCTTCTCCTTCATTACTCATGTAACTTTTCCTCTATTATAACTTTTCCCTAACAATAGAATTTAAATGTTATCATAGATGGCACATTTCCAAAATCGGTATACCTTTTTCTGTATCCTAGGTCCTGTCTTTTTAAAAGAAAGCAAGAAGGACCCCATTTGTATATGTTCTGCAAAAACCTAGTTCATTTTTTTTCTTCTCAATTTCTTCTCCTTTTCTTCCCTTGCTGCAGAACCTGTGCTTTTAGTAGCAAAGCCTAAAGGCTTGTCCCGTTTGTCCTTGCACAGTGATGATTGCCTAAGCACTCCTGGACAGGTTAGGATGCTGGCCTGCAAGTTAAGGAGCTCAGACTGCTCCACCTGGAACATACAACTTTTTTTCTGAGATTGTTCGTAATTCTTATCTGTAAGAGCAGTTTTGATGTGAAATCCTGGCTTTATTGATGTCAGCAGGACTTCAGTTCTGAGAACTTCCAGTCTTTTGTATTGTTAAACAAAAGGAAACACAGCACTGTTGTGTTATACTGTAGTACTTTTCCTTGCAAATAGGTTTTACATCACACGCTATCAATGTGGAACCTATCTGCCTGTGAAATAGAAAAACAAATAAATATCTTTAAAGAATGTTATTAAATATCTTTAAAGAATTCCAAAATCAAGAACAGCTAAAGGTGAAGCTCAGACAGGAGCGGTTATGTCTTCCTTGTCTCTACTGAACTAACTAGCTGACCTTTGCTAAAATATTATAATATCCAAGTGATTGGAGTGCCAGAACTAAGATTTTATTTCTCCTTGTAGGGGATCTGACCTCTGGGTGGACATTTGGATCTGCTTTACATTGCAACTCCACGATCAGGTACTTTTATAGGTACAGACTTTCAGTATTTTTAAATAGAGAGATAGAAAATGCATATTCTAGGTCAATCAGGAATGAATTCGTAATAGTCTGTGATATATGGAGCTCGGCATAGCTAATCACACTCATTCATTCTAGACTGGTGTTACTTTTGCCTGTCTACAGCTAATGCTGAAACCAGCTTCTTTTGCAGAGTTCTCTCTTATTGTCTCTACAATTTTTTATTCCACTTGTTCCAAAGTCAAAGGAGAAGGTTCTGCAAATTAAGTATGTTAGTTGTTACCTTTCTTTTATTTTATTTTTTGTGGAATTTTATTTTTCTAGTTGTGCTCCAACTCAGCTTGAACTGCAAATGTTTCTCCATCCCTTTGTCTGCATTTTACTAAACATACAGAAGTATGCCACTCTCCTGAAACATGAGACTTACCCTGCAGTTTCAGTCCCTCCCAGCCAGGATGTTCTTCCTGTTTCAAACCTGTAGCATAAAGAATGGAGTAGCCACCAGTCAGGTCCTGCTCACTGCTGGGTGCTCTGGCTTGGGGCTACTCATTGTAGCTGTCTTCTAGGACACAATTCCTAGCATTACTTACTGGCATTTCGTGAGTGTGGCATTAGTTAGTTCTAGGATGTTTGGGATAGGAACAAGACACATGCTTTTGTTAATTCTTCTTTATGAAATGTACTTTCATGCTGGGTATCAGGACTTAAAGCCAAATTGTCCAGATTCAATTACTGACCCTCCTGTAACGAGTTAATACCATTGCAAATGGTTCTGAGAAGGGACTCCAAAAGCCATGGAAGGTTACTTCGTGGGACAGAATTCAGACCCTTGGGGTTTTAGCTGCCCTGCACGAGGACCACTGCTTTCCGTGAACGCTGCAGTCAGCTTGGGGTTTCCAGGGCTTTGTGATCCCAAGCTCTGACTTCAGGCTGTGGTAAGATGACTCAAAACCTTCTGAAGGAAAAGGAGCATTGCTTGGGTGGAGAAATAAATGAGAAGCTGTGGATAGATTTGGACTCAAATCTGCCTCAGTTGTTTTTAATAATGATTATGATCCTCTGACAATATTAATGTGAAAAGGTGTTTTCTGACACTGAGGTCACTGACGTACTACACGTGAGAGCAGCCTTAAAAGAGTTACTGAGATGTTAGATCAGACACTCAGAAGTTAGTAAAAGAGAAAAGATAGCCTTAATCATTGGTCTTTGCTAAAACCTTGGCAAGTATCCATTAAACGTGCTGAGAAGGTAATTTTCAATGCTATGTTCCCCCAGCTAAAGCAAGTCCTCTTTAAGGGGACTAATGTGATTATGATTTTCAAACTATTGCCACCAACTTTAGGAGAAACATATATTGTCTCCCATCCATCCATCATTTGGAAAACTTGTTTTGGGAACATTCTTTGGGAAGAGTCATAATGCAGCAATTTAAAGATTCAAAGGAATGTTCTTTAAAGTGTTGTGTATTTGTGGAACCCATGTTATAGAAAGTTTTTGCAACTCTTTCAATTAATGTTGTTCCCCTCTTGTAAATATAGTGATGTTTTAGGTAAATTTTGTTAGGAAATGGATCCTCTTTACTTCTAGTGTTTTTATTTTTGGGGAAAAAAATCACCCCAAATACTGCCAAACAAAACCCAAATTTTTAAATTAAAAGGATTCCTTCTTTAACTAACAAACTCTAAAAAAATTGTGAATTGTTTTCCAGATTTTGATGGAATTTTTTCATTTGTCTGCAGGCAAATTTTTTTTCAGCTACATTTGTTTTAGCAGCTGTGTTTTTAATTCCAATTCCATTTTAATGAGAAATAGATTGTGAAATATTTTGAATAAATGCTTGCAACCAGTTCAGGTCTTAAGGATGTGGAAAGCAGTGACTTGCTAAGTAGTTTTATTGTCTACATGAATGTTTGGGAATTAGCAATCCCTCCGTAAGATCCTTGTTTTCATGCAGAAGACAGTTCAGAGGGTTCCATGGGCTGAGGGGTTTACCTCTGTGAACCACGCTGCATGGTAGGGTTTTGCCGTGTAAAAGCTAGTGGATAGATTGGAAATCGAAGAAGTAAATCTATGTTGGGCAGGGAAGATTTTAGCGATTGAAGTTAATTACACTAGCCTTAGTAAGAGCCTGTTGTGCCATTCTGATGGTTTTTCTGCCATCTTTCGCTGCTGTACAAACCTGTAAGAGCCAGTGAGTGCTCATGGGGTGGAATATACCATGAGTGATTATTGTCTTTTGTCTCTGGAGACTGACGGCTGTTGATGAGAGGGTAGCGTGTAATCTCACTAGTATGGCGGAAAAAAGAAAAACAAATGCTAAATGTTCCCCAGGTCAGGTGCACCCTTGGGAAGGGATGTCTTGTACGTCAGACAGTTATGCCACTGGCTTTTCCTCAAGAGAAAAATATACTAGTGGCTAAAAATGACATTTTCTTCTGCTTTTTTATTTAATACTTTCTCTTCTAGCTAGAAGCTGGCTAGAAAGCGTTCTTCTCCTCTAGGGTAGCAATTATTAATGTGGTCTGTTGGTTTTCTTAAATAAAAAATAATATTTACACTTAAAGCTCAGGTCCACAGAAAATGTTTTGCAAGCATTAGTCAAAAATACAAGTTTGTAGTTGCAGCTAGAAAATGTGCAGTGCAGCTCAGAGAGGGCTTTGGAAAGATGGCTTTAAGCCATAATATACATCATACATGGAGCATTTTAGCGAGGTTAAGTCCCTTTTGTCTGGGTGAATAAAATGGGTGCTGTCTACATAGCATACATTACATCTTAGTTTCCTTTACATGCAATAGCTGAGTTTTGCTGCAATGAAGTGTTAAACAGACACAGACAGAAAGTGAAATAGCTGTATGGTTCTGAATGCAGACAGTATTTAAGTTGATGCAGTATAGTTATTTACAGTGTGATAGAAAGAACAAGAGTGTTTCACTTCTTAAATAAAATATTGCCTTGAAATTTTGAGAGAAGTGCATGGGAATTTTGGAGAAGGGCCTTTTGTGTTTTGTTAGAAAAGCTGCTGAAGAGGTGAATATTAGTTTCATGCAACACTAACAAACTCATGTCCAGCAGCTAGAGCATTGTAAACAGTGAGTGAAATTTATACTTTCGTTAATTGTTACCTCGTGGCTCTGCTGTGGGTCCTAATGCCTAGCCTCAGAAGCACCAGCTCAAACTTACTTCCCCCAGGGACCAGACTAAATACAATGATGTTCGGACAGGGAGCATGTAACTAAAAAACTAAGCCTTCCAGAAGGTGAAGAGCAATGGTCACTCAGTGGAGATTAAAGCAGACTGTGGGAGAAGCTGAACAGAGATATTTTTAGGCTAATATCACTGGTGAGAGGAGTCAGCTAGGAGAAGTCACTGTCTGTGCTGAGGCAACACTAGTGAATCTCTTTAGAAAATTAGAAGAAATAGTTTGATGTATTTTGAACTCTAATAAACAGACTTCCAAAAGAGAAAATTTCTGAAGCAAAGACCATCCACTACAATTTTCTCAGCTGGAGAAACCAAGGCAGTGACAGGACTCAAAGTTATTTTCTTCTAATCTGTGTTAAATAAAAACTTAAAATCTGGTCTGAGCAGCTCCCCTACCTGAATCACTGAGTTATATATTGGATAATTATTACAAGACTGCTCAAGTCACTTTTCAGTCACTGATGTCAGTTGTTCTCTGTGTGAATTAGAGAATTCTTCCAGATCTACAAAATTATCCTAAATTTTAGCTTATCATTAACAAGAAGCAAATGCCAGGCTATATTTCACTATTTTAAATCAGCACACTGAAACTTCTTTATTCTGAAGCACATGGGTAGTCTCATCCTAGCTAGTAAATGCATTGGAAGTATCAGATGTGCAGGTGGGTTCCTGAGGCTTACGGAGACTCTGATGTGTCAGCTGAGCCAGGAGGAATGATCGTATGTATATGGGCTTTACCTGTCCTAAATGCAAAGTAATATCCATTAGCTTAAGCATCATAGAAAAATGTTTCCCCTCATTTGGGATGGGCTATGAGAGTGTGCCTTGTCATTTCAGCATAGCTGAAATGCTGCCGCTTATTAAGCTGCAGGAGCTCAACTGCTTGCCTGAGCCTTAAGTACCTTTTTGTAACCTTAAGCATACGCTTATGCAGTTTGCTGAAGCAGGGCATAAACTGTTAAATTAATGCCAACATTTATACATGTGCTTAGTTTCAAGCACTGTGAATAGTCACACTGGACTTGGATTTATACACTGAGAGGCTGAAGTGTAAAGAAGAAACAAATCTAGTGGGACGTCCACCTGTTTAAACATAAGGCGATTCATAAATATTTGCGGAATCAGGTCTGTAGAATGCACAAGTCTGAAGTTCAGATAAGTCCTATAGCTATTTATGCCTCTGAAAATGTTACATGTTCATTTTGTCATTTTTTTTTTACTAATACAGTGTTTGAAACTCATTTTCAAATTTTATTCTCTGTTGATCAGGGAAAAAAAAAGAAGTATCTATACAGTGCTAACATGAATATTGATCACAAGGTGAGCAGGACGCTCATTTTTGTCAGAAGCTTGCTTGTTGGCATGCCGGTGATAGATCAGATATAAAGAAAATCACTTCTGCAAAACCAATTTGCTAAGGGGCTTGTAAAATCCATTTTTAAAAAGTTACTGAGGCGAAAAAGGGAAGGACCAGCCAACCAGATATTTTGATCAGCTCTTCAAGGTCAAAAACTGATTACTAATTCATCAAATATCTTACTGGTACCACTGTTTGAAGAGCAAACAACTCTGTGCAGATGTTCTACCTAATAACTGTAATACCACAGAAAGATGGGTAGGGCAGGAACAAACAGAATTTTTTACTTACTTTTGGCAGTGCTGCAGTCGTAAGAGCTGTGGTCTTCAAAGCACTGGCAGCCCAATTCTGTACATTGTCCATTGCCATTACAGAAATCAGGACACCGGAGAATGGTGAGGATGTCTTCCTGGCTAGCAGATGGCCCGTTTCCTGCACTGAACAGTTTACTTCTGTTTCCTAGCACTCTTCTTTCACATTCATTTTCCAAAAGGGCTATCAGCGCACTCACCCAGGCCACATCATCCTTGAGTTGCAAATCTGAAAGACACATATCAATTGCCTCATCCATTTGCTTTCCAAGGACACCTTTACACACTAAGCCAATGGTGGAATTTGCAAGAATCTGGTGGCAAATCTTCAGAGCTTTGGCAGAGGTTAGGCCATTAGGAGTAGGCCATGCCAGTGGGAGTTTTGTCCGAATCCCTTCAAAGTAGTCCTCTGGGAAAAAATATGCAAAGCTCTCTGAGTCTATATGGCTTGGGCTTTGCAATGGATAAAACAATGAGTATTCGTAATGGTCGTCTTGCTGTTTTGCTCTCTGCAGTTCTTCTGCTGGTTTAATAAAGTGCGTGAGTGTCTTTAATCGGTCCTCAGGGCTACGCCGCTTTTTGACTGATTTTGGAAGATATCTTTGAGGATAGGGCTTGGCCAGCAGTTTCCCATTTCTTAAAGTAGCTTCTGTTTCTGGGTGAGAGACAAATTCTGAGGTAACATCTAGATAGGGGATTGCAGAAGCATAATCCACATTTTCATAACGGCAACCAAAAGACTGAGAGTAAGAGTTCTGAAAGGTGTTCAGCGTGTTTACCGAGTGCCAAGACTTAGTGTTCACCTTCTGACATCTGCAGTACTTTTTCCTTTGCTTCCCTTCAGAAGGTGCTGGAGTCTTGTCAAATAAACTCTTCCCTGGAGGTATTCTAATTTAAAAATAGAGATTAGAAAGAAACTTTCAGCAAATTGGTGTACAGTATTAGGTAAACTTGCTTTCCTGGAGTCTGAGGAATGTATAAATTCCCAGTCTAGCAAAGTACGTAATAAGTTTAATCTCTGTTTTCTTTAGTCACTTTTGCACTGTCCTTCCAGCGTTGTCCTGTACATTTTTTAGGACTGCACTGGGACTGTTTGGGAACAGATGCTTAAGTGCTTTGCTGGCCCAATGCCTAACTGCACGACTTCACTTCACAGAACTTTTTTAAGGAGCAGGTTACCCTTTGCATATTACACATGAAATGAGGCCTTGGATTTGTCCCTGATGTGACTCAGATGCAGCCTGGAGAATGACAAAAAGAGATGTGTGTGTTTCAAATACTTCTATTTACCCTTGCTCTAATTACAGGGGGTTTCCTCTAAGGTTAGGAGCACTGTATTTTCTTCTTTTATATATTTTATTCTTTTCAGAAGTTTTATGCATACGTCATTTCATTCTGGTCTTCTAATGGAGCTTTGAGCTTTTTTTTGACACAAGGAAGTTTTCTGTTGATCATAGGGGTCAGGGTATCGTATAAGGTAAGATGATTTTTTTCCCTTTTTAATTTAGTCCAGCTTTCATGATGGGCAAACTTTTAGAGAGTTTAGTTTGAATAAACAACCATGATTAAAATTTCTCTGGAAATCTCATAAGCGTAAGATTTCTTATTGATCTTCTTTGTATGGCACAAGAAGAATCCTGGGACTTTGTAGAAAAAGATACACCTCTTGTCCCAGGAGCTGGCAGTGCTTTATTTCCAAACAAATTTGGAATATCACCAAAAATTTAGATTATTTTGGTATTATTTTTGTCTTACAGCCAGCATGCAGAGGGTTCAGGAAAATGAAAACATTTGCAAACATTTTGAAGCCAGATATTAGATTCTATGGTAGAAAGTGTAATTGCCTTATTCAATTTTTCCAGTATATATTGAAAATATATTATATTATTATTTTGATCATTGATACAATACTAACTTTAAAAAAAAATCACAGTGACAGAGGCAAAATGAACCAATTTCTCTTTCTGAAATATGAGCCCAGACATTTATGAAACCATTTTTCACAATGTGCAGGCACAACAGCATACAGTATGATATGGTAGGAAGGCTTTCATGCTCACAGAAATGCACAGGCTATTATGCACTCAGCACTAGCTTTCCTACAGCCCAGGACAATAAAACATGTTTTGTTGATTGTGGGCGTACTGAAATGACCTCTTGCCCTTTGCAGAAAAGGACAGTGCAACTTTAAATTAGACGTGGCTATTGCGCGCACACTGTTTCTCTGCTTCTGAATGGTCATGTTACCTGTAAATGCAGCTACCCAGAGACACATTGTAAAGCTGTAAAGTTAAACATAATAAGGCAGCAGAAGTAGGTCTTTTTTTAAGGGAGCACTGCATAAACTGGAGACTCTGGTTAAATATTACATATTTAGTAATTAAGTAAACCAGTGGTTATCAAACTGAGTTGAATACTAGTATACAGAGTCCAAAAAGAGTAGTGTTGCTGTTGCTTTCCCATCGGATAACTGCAAAATGTGTTATTAATTTCTAATGCTTATTTAAAATCTGTCTTTTAGAATCCGGCGCTTCCTTGTCAGGATGCTTTTTTAAGGCCTGGGAGGTTCTGATGTCATTTTATTGTTTAAAAGTTGCATCGGAGGGCTGATGTTTAAAAGAGATGTGTGCCATTCTGAGCCCTGCAGCTGCCTGGGAGAGCTGGGAGCCAGGGAAAGAACTGATCTGCCAGATGGCCAACACGCAGCCTACCTTCAGGTGCTGGAGAGTGCTAAAGTCTAATATGCCTTAACTGTTATTTAAAATGAAATTAAAAACAGCAGCAGAAAAATCACCCTCCAAGTTTTATTTTCTGTTGTGCCAGTTCTCCGTGGGTGGATTAGAGACTGATGCAATCTCGTCTGGAGATAGCTTTAGCCTTCCCATTGACTTCAGCTGGTTTTTGAATCAGGCATGGGTTCTGAAGAGTCCTTGAGAATCCTTACTTGGGGATTCAGCGAAGTTAAATTTGTCACCCTTCTGCCCTTCTCATGTAGCAGAAGATTCCTCTACCTTTCCTGAGGTATTCCCATCACATGTGCAAAGCACATTGCACAATTTCTTCCCTGCTTTATAAGCAAATTATCTTCCCACATGTTCTGACTTGGCTCCGATCTTTTGGCAGCCTTGCTTTGAACAGCTCCTCCCAAGAGTCTCAAGGTCGCCCCTCACTGTGCGTGTCAGAAGCTGGTCATCCTTGCTCTGAACTAATTTGCCACTTCCCTTCCCAGAAGCAATCTCTGACTGGTCCTCACAACATTAAGTGTGTTAGGATTTGTTAAAGACGGCTGCCGACTTCTAAATTGTAGTATTTCTAACTACAGGTCAAAATTGACACCAGATAGCCAACATTTAAGCCTGTTGGACATTACTAGAATATGGTAGATATATTTATATATTTGCTGAAATGTAATAGGTCTAAAATTTTTTGTTACTGAAGGACTGAGGCAAGGAAACTGTTCCTGTATGCAGAATAAGTGTTGTATTAAGGTATATATTGACCCATCTGACTAACGTTTGAGTTTGTTTCACCTGTGCCAAATCTTCCTGCAGTTGTTTTTCCCATACCAAACAGAGAGACTATCAGGACCCAAGCTGATCTTGCAATAACCGTACAAGTAAACAAGTGATCAGGATCATCCTGTTTTTCACTGTTTGCAAACCATCCTTCACAAGCAAACCTACGCAGCCAAATAATCCCGTTTTGGTTTTGGGATCACCTTGCCGGTATCTTTAGAGTTCAGCCTCAGGAATTAAAATGTGGGATAGGGATAGGGGCATGTTACAGAGTCAGATTCCTGGCTTTGGTTCCAGACCATCTATTTCAGAAAATGAGAGTTTTTAAAGCCCCCTGTCATTAGTAGAGTAGATATTAAGTTTTAGCATGGTACATATATTACCACACTTTGTCAAAATGCAGCATTTAATCTATATCCACATACCGTAATTAGTGTTCAGGAATAAAAGAACGAGGGAAATACGAAGCCCTTAATTAATCCCTATTGTCAATTATCTACATTTTCCAGTGTGGGTGAGAGCTGCATTTTTTTAACAGCTGAGTGGGATCTTAACCCAGCTGTTAACATGACATCACTTGTGAGTATAAAACTTGTCTCTCAGTAACTGCTTATGTGTATTGTGCTGGCTGAAAAATCAGCTATTGAGATGTTTGGGATGGTAATGGGCCTCCAGGCTTCCCTCGGTAGATTAAGCAGATCTCTCTGTCAGGTCGTTAAAGGGCTCTGTAATGAAATAAATGTATCAACACCCCTTAAAATAATGTTACAGTACATCTTCCAGATCTGGAATCCTCTAACTTTGTACCTCCACTCTTCTATGAAGTCTTCCTCGGGCGTATTGCTCTGCCGCGGGCGGCGGGGCCCCCCGCCAGCGCGGTGGAAGTCATTACGGCCGTTCCTGTCAAAGATGCCACACAAACCTCGGGTGCTGTTAAAGTCGCTGCTCGGCGTCCTCACCGTCAAACTCATTCCCCACTCGCTCACATCGGCGCGAACAAATGCTCCTGAAGGGAACATGATCTGAAGAGGCAGGAAAATCCAGTGAGTTGAAACCATTACTGAGCTTTTTATGTAATAAAAAATGTCCATTTCCATAAACAAAAGTATAAAAGGTAGGATGCTGGCTATAGCAGTGGTAGTTTAAGATCGCTTAGATACACTATAAATATTTATTCGTGCTATTACTTAGTTTGCTTTCAGATTTTATGGTGCTAATATCTGATAGCATTATATAAATATAAATACACTCAAGTGCTTCCTTTTTAAATTAATAGTTGCATTCACTGCAGTTTTACCACTGGAAAGTTAGCAGCTAATTTTTGAAGCAACTTCCACGACAGTAAGACCACCCTTATGTCTTTGCCTAGGAAATTGTTTTTTTTAGATAAACTGCCAAGTCTGAAAAACAGCTTTCTTCTCTCTGAAAAATCGTTTCATTTTCCAAGGCTGGATTACCCAGAAAATGATTGTGTTTTAAAGTGGATAAAGCAATTTTCTCATTAAAGAACTTGTGGTAGGCTTATACTGACCTTTAAAAGAAAAAAAAATTCTTGAGGGTAAGACAAAGAAGTAGAGCTGTGTAGATAATGGATTTTTCAGATTGGTGGCCCAACCAAAAAAAAAAAAGAATAAATCTCTTCAACTGAAATGTATTGTTTGTTTCTTATATTTTTCCAGGTAAAATGATTTTGAAACTAATCTGTACCAGGAGTGGGGGCAAGAGTGCTCTATCCTGATAACTAAGCCTAGTATTTTGTTTGATTCAAAATTAGATGTTTTCAGTTGACCAAAAACATACATTAAATAATCAGAAAATTTTCATTTAAATAATTCCAAAATAGTTATTTTTCTTATTTAAGTCATCCCTGCCCAAACTGTTGAGAATAGCTTACTCAGGCAACTCGTGCCCATTGCTTTCTTTTCTTTCTTTCTTTTGTTTCCTTTTAATTATAAGGTTCTCCCCACCAAATCTATTCATATCTATGAGGATGTGACTAACATACATTTTTATTTCCTTGCGGGAATCCAGAGCTTAGATTTTGACTACTGCAATAAATAATAATCTTGGGCATGTTAGCCCCCTAATCATCGTTTCAGGAATGATTACTTCTTGTGGTGCTACCTGTATGTGATCTCCTAGTCCAATTGGGCTAAGCAACAAACTTCCGCTGGTATCAGTGGGAGCTGGGGATACCATGTTTTGAACTCAGGCTCACTTTGGTTTGGTCTGGGCATTTAAAGTATCTTTTTCTCAGAATATTGACCTTGGCCAATAATGGAAGTCACCACACAGTTGGCTTATGCTGTGTGCCATTTGTCTTTCTTTCTTTAAGACCCAGAATTTTCTCATGTTTTTCAGCGGTAGAAGTCTTCTGGACTACAACAGCACAGGATGAGAGCCTGTGGAACGCCAAAGTTTGAAATAGCCTGAGGTGTTGCAAACCATGGAGGAGATGAGCAAGCAGATGGCATGACCATGCCTGCTCCATGTCAAAGACTTCCTGAATGGCTTGCGTAAAACCAATCCTCTGAATAGGTCAAAAGGCCTTGGCTGTATGTCCACCTTAGCTGTATATCTGGCTTTCCAAGGTAAGTTAAAAAAAAATGATTCCCAAACAGAAAGCTAAAATGGCTTGATTAGTTAATTTTTTCTAAGTTGTTTAAAAGATGGAACAGGAGAACTGCTGTTGACACAGAGCTGGGTAGTAGTTGGTTTCCTCTTTGAGATAAATATACGCCTTCTAACTACATTCTTTACTACAAGGAGGAACATTTGCTACAATGCTGTGTGCAAAATCCTTGCAGTCAGGACTGCATGAGCTGTTTCAGTCTTCTGTGCTATTTGGATTAGTATTTGCAGTTGTGGATTTATTTCAGGAATTTAGAGGGCTGTAACCCTGTTTTCCTGCTGCCCCTCTTAAGACATGCAGTCTGCCACTGAGGACCTAACAACTGTCTAGCTTTTCTGTAACCCACCTGGATTTAACCACTGCTGATGGGGACTTTGAAGAAGCTTTTTTGAGAACTCAGCTTACGGAGATGCAAAGTGACTGGCTGCTGGAAGCTGCCACCTTGCACAAAACAGAAAGTAACTTAATGCCATTCAAAGCAGCCACCTTGAGCGCTACAGGAGCTGCGGGGACCCGGCTCCTGCATGATGCAGCTGGGGACATGGAGTCAGGCTGAGGTGTAGGGCAGAAGGGCTGGGAGGCTGGGGGAGTGGGAGTGCAACGCAAATCGCGGTGCACTGTTCCCAGCTGTGTGATGAGGACCCATACATGTTGCTATGCTGTTCCTGCAGATTCCCATGCAGATGAGGGCAGGATTTATATTCATGTCCCAGAGGTGTCCTAATGTGTTTTAAACACAAAGGAAATCAGTGGAGACTTACATGAGGTGTAAATGAGGATGGGGGGGGGTTCCTTGTTAAGATTATTCTTGTAATAAAACTGTGATTATGTTGCATTCAGTTGCAAAATGAAATGACAGCTTGCTTTCTGCTTTTTCTCTGTTCTGTAATTAACAGACTTTCAATTACTAGCTTTTCTAGATCTCTTCCAAGGGAGATTACAGAGAGCCAAAACACAGGAACTGCCTCACATCCTTCTGGCTCTGCTGTGGACCTACTTTCACTCAAAATATTTTCTGGCAATAAATTTTGATGATACAACTTTAGGATGAAATTACCTTCTTGGCTGTAATTTGTGGCTCTTCTGCTCACCAAAGTCCCCAAGTGCAGCCTGCTCTTATTCTTCCAGTGATTTCAACCAGTAGACTGGATTAAAATTGCACAGTCTGGATAAGTGATATGCATCATTTTGCATATAGGTTGGATAAATGATATGCACATACTTTGCATGCATGCAAAGTATATTACGGCCTTATCTTTTTTAGGCAAATAATTCAAGTTATACCAGTTGTTCCACATTTGCAGCCCATTTTCATGGCTTTTGGGGGCTCTCTGTTTCTGACTATTATTGCCTTACTGTTACGCTCTACCATTCCATTATTCTACTATATTTACCTGTGATTTTTCCTTGAATATTTGTATCAGAAGCACTACAAAAAACTTGCTGTAAATGAAATGGTTGATTAGTGCCTAGAGTAAATTAGCTGTGAGAAGAATGCCGTACTGTGAGTAGTAACAGTACTGGCACTGAGATATGTTTCCAAGAAATTTCTAGAGATATTTGTAGATATGTCTCCAAAAAATATACAGAGATGTTTGTTTTGTTTTGTTTAACAGTCTGTTAAACTAACACTTCAACCAGCTCCTTCCCTTGGTCTCATTTTCCGGTACCTTTTGCTGCAGGCGCTCTTATGGCTTCAGATATTTTTGTAGCAACTTCTGTAATCATTCAGAGATATTAAACTCACACTTTTACGAACAACAAGAACAAAAGTACTCAAATATCCACGTACTGTTATTTTTCTCCCTCCATAGGACTTTAGGATTTTGACATGTGGCGATGCGTCAGCGCTTTTGATGGCTAGCTGTGGTTTGGTTTCCCGAAAATGACCGTTGCACATATCCAGCACAACAGTGTCATTCCCCTCTCGTGCAGCTACTCCGCAGTTGCAGGCTGCGGCAGAGCGGTGACTTCCACAGTCCCACTGCCGAACATGCACTTCAAACACCCGCGACAGGCTCTGGCACAAAAGGAAGGTGCCGATTTTATAATTATCGTAACGCCTAAACAGCAACAAACAAAAACAGGATTTAGAGACCCAGAGCTCCCACCTGTAATGGCTGTTTGTTTGTACTTGTACAACAGCTCTCTTTAATTAGGCCAGTGTGGTGGCTGGCCTTGAAGGGGAGAGAAAAATCAACACATGGGGAAGCATTTATTCAGCACCGTAAGCAAGCTAATGCCATTGGAGTTATTAGCTGGAAGTGCATAAGAATTCATGTGAAAAGCTGGTAGCTGTCTAAGAGCTGCTGCTATGGCAACGGGCATGGATAAAAAGGATAAACATTTGATAAAAGCAAATGGGAAAAAGTCCCTGCCTCCAGGCCTTAATAAATATGTTTTGGTTCTAACTGGATGCTTTACAGCATGATATTCTTCAAAGCAAAATCAGTGCTCAGAAAACATCTTCTGTGACTAATCGCTAACTTTTACAAGACTGACTGTGGCTAGGTGAATATTTCCTACGAAAAATTGGGATTCTACTGAAAACCTGTTAAAAAGCCTTTTTTTTTTTCCCCCTGCGGAGCAACTTCACTATAAGCAGAAGTTTCACTCTAAACGGATTGGCAATCAGCACGTTGCAGCGTGTTCAACAATTTGGAGCTTTCATTCTTCTCAGTACAAGAAGTCCTTGCTCCTTCTGAGTGCGGGAGGAGAGTAATTCCACAGCTGGTTCCCTCTGCACCGGCTAGGTAAAATTCCTCTGTCCTGCAGCAAGGTTCGCTAGGGAGTCCAGCAGAAAGGCCTGCAAGAGGATCCTCCTGTACTGTTCTCTCTTTTCTCACTCTATAATCTTGCCTTACTGTTCCTCTGTATTTTATTCCAACGTGATGTACATAACTAAAGCAAACAGTAGCTATATACTATATAGACGTTGCCGGACATCTCTCCACATAAGCCAACAGCTGCCATCTTTAAAAGCGGTGGTCCTTATACTTTCTTTTGAGGCACTACATTTAGCTTTAAACAAGATTTTAAAGAAGGTAAATACAATGGAAAATAAGCTATAAGCTTATAATAATAAGCCTTATCATTTTCTGCAATAAAAAAGAAAATGTGAAAAGTAATATGCAAAACAAAATCAACCACTAAACTAAATAACAGGATTTTTTTTTAAGCAATGTCATACAAACATCACTATTTTTTTCAGGCAATATTTTGTAGTCAGAGGAACAAATAATTTGTTGTTTTATCTTTGGTTGAACACCTAAGATTTTTTAGTGTGCATGTATCAGTATTTTATTAATCTTCAGAGTAAAAGCCATAGAAAAGTATATATCTTAAAATACAGTAAGAATTTAAACTGCAACTGCTTTTCTCTGCAAGCAAACACATCTGATTTTTTTATTTCATCTTGAAAAACTTAGTGAAGTTGGCCATAAAAAGATTTTGAATTATTCTGTCTCATCTTATTTTCTAATCAGGTACATAAACCCTAAGTACACTGCTCAAATGCTGTTGCAAATACTGATTTGAACTAAGGAAAACATTAGAAATATCTAATCTCTTTTAACATCAAAATGCTAGCTCCATTTGGACCTCTTCACAGGAGAAAATGAGGAGCTGGGAAATTTAATGAGAATCACCTGCCAGTTTCCTTCAATAGCCCTTTCAACAGGAGGAATTCAGAAGGAAGGGTTTTTTTTAGAAAGGTTGATGGAAAAATATGCAGCAAAATGGCATTATCTGGACTAATCAGGTGTATCAGTCGTAATGGGAGCTATTTACTGCTTAATAAGCGTAGACAGTGGACCCAATCCAGCTCTTTTGGAAGTCACTTAGAGTCCTTCAATTAAGCCATGACATGGATTCCATAGCACATAACAAATTTGCAGTGTGTCTAAATTGAAGCTTTCAACTGGCTTTGAATTACTTGAATGGATAATTGAATGTAATCAGGTAAACTTTTGTGATGTTTATACAACTATAATTGTGATAATCATTCATTGGACAACATTTGAGAAATCAAATTGCAGGCTTGAAGAGCTGAAAGCGTGAAGCCGAGTTATTGGAGCTCTTGTACGAGGGGAGTCTGCATATTCTTTGTGAACCAGGCACTATTGCTTGTGTCTAAATAGCACTCCATTGTGCACCTTGCAGTCCTGCTTCCCTAATAATCTATAGCAATGGATGCATTGATATAAAGTGGTCCCTTCCCTTCCCAAATATGTGTTTGGGTTGTTTTTTCCAAGGAGGGCATCAAGTTCTTCTTCCTTGGCTCTTTATCCAAGAATTATGTAATGCTCCTAAGTCTTTGGTTAAGATAATGAGATGTTATTATAGGAATCTTTTCTTTTGGCTCATGATAAGAGATGGGTAGAAGGGAAAATAAATATATGTAATTATGTAAACACTACTAGTAGTGTTAGATTAACTAATGCAATACGCTCATCTCTGAACTGTTCACCAGGTTGCACTGAGATCTCCTTCACCTTTTTATTGATTCAGTTATTATTGTGACTTCTCCTAAACTTTTCCCGTCACAGTTTTGCCACCAAATCATTTTATTTGTTGATGTGTCCCTCTGGGCTTCCACTTCCCTCGTCAGTGAGAACTATTTTATACCATTTGTTACCCTAGGAAGTGTTGGATTATGCTGCGGGAAGTCCTCCAGGTTCTGCATGTTCAGCGCTCAAGAGTGGCTGTGTTCTCAAAGCGAAGCTGCTGGGTTATGTTCAGAAGTCCCTGGAAGCTTAGGGACGTATAAACTTCTACTGACTGTCAAAAAAATAGGAAGACTAGAACAGCATCTCTGGAAGGGCTGCCTTCTCATGTCCAGGACTTAGTTGTGGGCTGACATGGTGAATGCCAGTAAAACTATGCAAGCTGAGGTATTTTGTAATCATACAGGGAGTGGTGGCAGTGTCCCTGTGATAATATTGATGGATTTATGTAAACGTTTGAGAAATCTCACAATTCTTTCCTGTTTTTTTTTCGGTAAAATGCAAAATAGCATTAGTCAGATATAACTCACCAGTCAAGAAATATTTCCCTTTTCACATTTTGCCATAAAAGGATTTTCACCATATTGAAAGCTAATATTTCATATTTAAGAATCTACAATTTATGATGTGAAAGGCTTTTATATTTATAGCATGCCATAACTAATAATGAAGGCCATACTTTTGCTTTACAAGCTTTCACATTCATTTAATTTAGAAGGTACTTTGCTATAAAAGGAAGTGCTATTTCTGGATTTTAGCTAGTATAATTAATGCTATGCACCAATATACACAAATTGAGTGTGCTTGCATTGTAAAATATGACACATTCTTCTTTGATTTTCAGTCTATTTTGTCAAAAGAATAAAATGATAAGATAAATATTTCTGTAAAAATATATTAGCAAAAGGCATGCAGAGGGGAGCGTTATCATTAGAACTGTGAGTTAGGTATTTTAGTTATATTGTGAATAACTAACTACCCCAGATGTAATGTGAGCTCAGTACTCAGTAAACCAGATTAAAAAACATTGACAAGTATTTGCAAATGTTACAAAATGAAGTATTACTGTGAAGTCTCACAGAATAGCTTATACATTAGAAGTGACCATTTCAGTAGGAAAATTTTGTTACCAAAAAGTCCATATCTTCCAGGCAATGTTTTGATTTTCATGCCATTTTCACTGTTCTGGTTTACAAATTTGCTAAAAAAAATAGAATCAATGTTTTTAAATTAAACTGTGTTTTAATGAGCCTTTTTTTTCTTTTAAATTTTGGCAACCAGAAGCTTGCAGTTTTCTATTTTTGTGTCTGCTTTCATCCTTGCTTGTCTCCATTGTGTATTTTTCCTTCTCTTCTCCACTGCTAATGGGAAAGTCAGAAAAAGGAAGAAAATCTATGAAAGGCGAGAGTATGTTTAGGTGCATGCACATTTGTGTAGAAAGCATTCCTACTATTACACTCCTACTTACACTCCTGCAGCTTTGGGAAATGGTCATGTTCAGACTTTCTTTTGCGTTTAGTATTACAGTTCCTAGGTGAGCCCTCCGCAGGGCTGCATGGAGAGCAGGAAGAAAGGGTGCCGAAGACACAGCTGCCCACCACCTCTTCACATCAAGCTCTTCCTACACAATCTTCACTGCCTCCCTGCAAGCTGGCTTACAGGTCACTAGGTAACAGTGGGGGAACAGATTTATTTCCTTGGGTTATGCTGTTTAAAGGATGCTCTGCCGTTTATCTCTGAGGCAGTTTTGATAGTTTCTTTATTAAGCTTTGTTTGCTACCATTTTTATAGCCGTATAAAGATGGGTGAAGGTTGACATTTTCCTTCGATTCTCTTCGCTAATTTTGGATATTTCTTTTTTTCCTTGTGTAATGCTCTTACCTGAGCCTGTGTCTACTGACTCTTAGAGCTAGCGTAACTCCTGATACTCAAGAGCTCATGTCCCACTTACCCCTTCAGCCTACTGCTTCATGGTCCCTAGGAAACGTTTCTCTTAGTTTATTCTCTTTCCTTGCTCCACCGTTTACAATCTGCAGAGACCCCTAGGTCTCTTTCTGATGCCTTTTTATTTTCGAAGGACATTCATGTGGCTTCTTACTTGAGTCCACAAGGTTTTTTGTGCAATTGTTCTGTATTCACAATACCTAATGCACAGCTCATTCCAAACACAGTTTTCCACCACGTGCCATTTCGCAGCCAAAAGGGAATGCTTCCATTCCAGAACTCTATCTGCAGGTTATAGGTTTGTATCAAGACAGAAGCAGGAATTGTTTTCACAGCTCCTTAAATACAGAACTTTAAATTCATTTGTCAATATGTTATCATTTTTTAGATTAATGCATGCAATAAGCAGACAGAGAGGTTGCCTAACTGATGTCTAATAGGGCAGCATAATCATTACAATAATTGAGAGATAAATTATTTACAGTAATAAATGGGAAACTAAGTAGGAGTAATGGGACTGTGAAATGACGGGTAAGAAACTTGGCTGAATATCAAGAAGTGATATGTCTTAGTGAAGTAACCTGATTATCGAGATGGCGGAAGCCCCATCACTTGGCTCATTTGAAGCTAGACTGGACAAAACAGTAATGAATATCCACAGAGAAGAAAACTGTTGTTACTGAGGGCCCGAGCTATGCCTGGGATTCTTCCATTTCAAGGTTTTGTGATTCTGAGGTAGAGTGCCACAGATGATGGTCTTTTCCAATCTCCCTGTACTCAAATGGAATTATAAACTTGCACAGGAGTATTTCTACGTATTATTAAAGGGTTCCAAAATGAGTTATTCAAATAAAATTGTTCTAACTTATTTTAAGCCCTTTCTCCCATGGAAGCTATGTTATAATATACTACATGGCTGAGAGGGTCCCCCGCTTCTAAGAGGCAATTTTCAGTAATTTATGACTTTCTCAACACAACAATCTGGTAGGTCGCTGTCCATTTTTAGCCCCAAATCGGAAGTGACTATTTTAGAATGTAAATGTATAGAGAGTTTTTAAATAAATTTTTAATCTAATTTAATATCCCAGAGTTGAAGTAATTGCAGATGCCAAGCAGCATTTGGATGTCTGTGCACCACTTGGAGCTCTCCCCTTGCAATTCTCTCTGAATGACTGTACTGCCAAGCTCTTGCCCATGATAGTCCCTTTTTACGAGGTTTAACAGACCCTTCGAAGTAAACTGTTTTCTGCAACCAGGGAAAAGTGATTGTCTGCTCACTGCACTAATTCCTGAGAGCCGTGAGTCTTTTCCCCGTTTTTTTCAGACTGAACAACCAAACTTACATGAAACAAGTACCTGACTGTGTTATGTGGCAAAGGAGGAGGCAAATAGGAAAGGCCTAGCTAGGCAGGGGCTAATCTCCTACTTGAGACTACCCCTTTCAGGTGACACCTTTGCTTGAGGCGGAAGTGTAACCTTTACGGGAGCCAGTGCCTTTCCTACTCTCCTTTCATGCTGAGATTTCTCTAGCTTTGACGTCATTTCAGGGTTTGTGTTCCGACAAATGCATGCTGCTAGCTCCAGAGCATGCTGGGTTGGAATTGGGACATTAGGATGTTGAAATTAGAATATCATGCCTGCTGAGCCCCTCTGGAGGCTATATTCATAAAATCATTATCTGCACCATTATGAGGTTAACAGCAGAATGGCAAATCTGGAATGTGATCTGAAATATTAGTAACTGTGGTTCAAACATGCCAGATGTGAACTTTAAAAACTTTGCTGTGTTTATGCAAAGCATCTAGGGTAAATATATTCATGAATGATTAGGCAAGTTAATTGAAGAAAAAATCTGTACAGTACAGGCTGTGAAACACAAAGATACCATCTTTGGCTCACTACATCTTTCAGCAGCATTATCACCGGATAATATCAGAGGATATTTGCCCATCACCATTTCTGAAGTTCTTCCATCTGAGCCAGTACAGACATTTTTATGTTTCCTCGGTTATGATGGTGACTATCAGCTGCATACAGAGATGCAGAGGTAGTTGCTCATATACCAATGCAACAGCGTTCTTGGGGAAAGTGACTTGATATTGCACTTTACTACGCTGCTGTGGGGACACCCTGGCTCACTTGTGTTGAGGTGGTATGTCTCTGACACAGCGCTGTATCACATGCTGCAGACATCCTCTCGGAAGCATTAATGACAGTTTTGTTTGAAGAACATTTTAGAATCTGACCTTTGTTTTGTAAAAATTACTCAGTATCAGAACCATTTCAGCTGCTGGATCAATACATTCCTACTCCTTTTGTTCACAGGAATATAACCAGCTGCAAGGAGACCATGTATGTTATTGAGGCACTACATTAATCACTATAAGCAAACTAGCACAACGCTCTTTTGCTGTTCTAATGTACAACCAAACACACGCTGCATCCAGAAGCCGAAGACTGCAGTAATTGCGCCAAATTATTTCAAAGTAGAATACTCACCATCCATCAAACGTGATAATGTGTGGATCGGTGAAAGAGTAGCAGTTCCCTGTTGGGAGGTCTTGAACTGTGACCTAGTTAAAATGAAAAGTGTAATGAATACAGTCTACGCAGTGGTTTTTCTTCATTACTGTTCCTCACAAAACATTAGGGGCAGGGTTCGTGTGTCAAGTATAAACCGAAATCTGACTTCTAAAACATGAGAGCGAATTGGTACAAAATAGGCTTCGCTTTCAAACGTTTAATCACGTGCAGTACGAGGAGTTCAGCGCGCCTGCTCCACCTGATGTAACGCACTACCTTTCTTTGTTTGGTAAAAAAGCGAAGCTTTTCTATTAAGCCTTTTTGGTTAAGAAGTAGATCATTCCTTGAAATTATCAAGAGGATAGAGCGCTCATTAAATTGCACCAATTTCCAGGGCCTGAAGTATGGTATAAAAGGTGTGCTGTAATTAAGTAGGATTACCGTTTTTAATAGTCACTGACTGTCTACCGGTCTGACCTTAAATTTCTTGATACAGCATTTGAATGACCGATTAATATATTTGATGTGCAGATTATTGATCAGGTACCGATTATGAGGCTGCTGGACCTGCCTGCTATCAGCATGCAAATAAAAGAGGAAGGGATAGCAGAGATCTACTAAGATCAGCAGGGATCTTCAGCTGCTTCAGCTCTCAGCTACCTCGGTGTAAGCTGGATCACAGACAAGGTCTAAGAGCTCTGGCCACCCGCACGGAGCAGAAATGCTGCTGTTGAAAGCTAGAGCTAGGACAGCTCACTTTGAAGTTGCAGCCTCTCTATCTTCAGCACAGTTAGGCCTCCACTGCCACGTCCTCTCAAGATGATAGTGCTTTTTCGTGATTGCATATTGCTATCCCAGTGCTCAGAAATGCAAGACTGGGTTATTTGCATAGGAGCTGTAGTGGTTTGCAATATGAGGAGCTCCCCAGTCACACTGGTGGGAATGATGAAGTATCATGTTTCTCTCATATCCGGCCCGCCGGGGATTTTTTGGTCAGGGCTGCTTGTTTGCTCTTTGCCCGTGACAAATCCAGAGGTGCGATTCAGTTAGTTCTGCCGTGATATGTGGAGCGGGGAAGAATAACGGCCACTATATCCTTGTGCAGTCTTTCAGTGACAGAGCAGAATTTAGCTTTTTAGCAGTGGTGAAATTAAATAAATGAGTAAGAAGGAAAAGGTAGAACTCCACTTACTGATAAAATTCCTCACCTGGGACAATACGTCATGCTTTAAAATGCCCTTTAACCTTCCCACAGTGACATTGCTTGAACACCCACAGGTATCTGGTATCCCCAACCAGCAGAGTGATTGTCTTGAGGAATGAAAAACAGAGCACCCCTTTGAACAGCATTTTGATATGAGGTCAATTGCATCACTTTGTGTCTGCCCAAGTGATGTAAAGAAGTAGCTCAGAATTTTCCCATTTTCTCCGCTGCCATGACCTTTCTAAGTAAAACATATGAACAAACAGATACACAAGCCCTTTTCTGCCCTGCTCTTATCTTACGTGACACAAGCAGAGGATTCAACTGTACATGTAGTTGTAGGTTGCTGAAGAAATCCATTTTTTCAGGCATCTGAGTATGTCAGACTGTTCTGCTCACCATTTCCATGGAGTTTTCAGATAAGTTGAAAATGGTTGAACAAGTCTGAACAACTAAGGACCCTGTGGATTTTAGTATATGAATTTTTCCTTCAGTGCAGGAACTGGTCTACCTTAATGCCTCTGATTATCTGCAAAGCAACAATGGGGAGGGGGGTTAGTGTCTATCTATTTCTGTAGATCAAATTTTAACTAGGAATAGATGCAATTTATTATTAAACATAAACATTGATTAACTTCATTTGCTATATTTTCATATTTTAATGGAAGCATTCACAACTTCAAGAAAAAAATACAGATACGTGAGTGTACTGCATTGAGTTAGCTGCTATTGCTGATTTAAGAAAAATCTTTAAAAGTTTAGAAGAAACCTGTGTGGGAGAGGAAACGAAATAGTTACATGCTAGTAATTTCAAATTTAAAGACAAAAATTCTTTTGTTTCAGCTTAATCTCATCCTTTCATGAGTAAATCCACTAACATCATGGTGGTGATTCTGCTGCAAAGGTAATTTAAGTGAAATTATAATGTGAGTTATTCTATGAGACTACACTACCATCCATATTATATATTTCACTGGAGGTGTATTTACTGTTAGTTGTAATATACCAGCTTGGATGCTGGAAATGCTCTGGAAATTGTAGCTGAATCAAATCAAATATGTATTCTGGCTTATTCTCTCAGGCCATAGCATTACAGCACACTGCTGTGGAACCTCTCAGCTGAGAGTCTGAAAGACCTTCACAACTGATGGGCCAGTTGCTGCTTGCCACACTCCTTTGGGCAGGCTTTCTGCAGTGAAAGTGTGGTTTGGCTCACTGATTTTCATTATTTTTATTTTGGACATTTTATACACAGATACAGGGAGAGAGAGTGCGGCTAAGAGTATCATCGGAGGGCTCACGATGATTACTGGCAGGGTCACAAATTGAACACAGCAGTTCTGATTCTGTTCTCCTCTCTCATTACAGAGGCAGTCACCTTTTTTGCACAGGGTTTTCTTGCAGGACCAGCTTTCCTTTCACTGTGACCAATTTGATCTGGTCCACGTGGTGTCTATGCTTTTTTGGAAACTTTCCTCCAAACTGGTGACTTTTTCTTCCTCTCGTCCTTGAAAAGTAATGTTAATTCCCTAAACTGGGTTCTCCCTCTGCCCTCCGCCTGCCTTCCCGCAGAGCACACAGGCAAACTGGGTTACGTCTGTCATCTAGCTGTTTGCCCTACTGACGTGCTGACGGATAATCAAACTTAAGTCTGTTAAAACAAAAAGCTTTACATGTTAATTTTCTTGGCATAGAAAGTCACGGGTTTGGTTTACTGTGCTAACAGCAGTCCCCAAATGTTAGTGTTTATATGGTTAAGATTTATTGTCTTGTTTTCTCCGCTATTAAAACTCCCACATTAAATGTGACATGTTTTCCAAATTATTTTAGGAACCAACCTTTACATCCGTTGGTGTGTAAGCCCTCCAGAGCAGTTCGCTCCATTTGGCTGGCTTCGCTCTGATGTGAGTGATGCGGTTCCCATCCTGCGCAAAGTCTGTCACAGCTGTCACCGTCAGCGCGGCTGCTGCACAGCTGCTTTCCGTGCAGGGCGTCTGCAGCAGATCCACCTGGCATGCCGAAAGGGCTATGTTTGGGGGCCCCAGGAATTGGCTATCTAAAATGAACACGAACACCGAGTTTGACAAGAGATGTCCCAACAGTTGCCCGCACCCTGTTTACCATCCAACGCAAGTGTTTTACATGCAAGACACACATGCATGGAAACCAGATGGGTTTTGCATGAAGACAGTTGTGACTGACTTAATCTGGCATCCCTTTGCACATTTTACAGGTTTTGTTGGTTTTTTTTTTTCCTGCAATAGACATTTTACTAAAACTCACTGGTGCTGTTCTGTCCACGGGTGTTAATATTTCTGGAATGACAGTCTTATCTTTATGGGTCCATGCCCAGGAAATGAAGATGAGTATGTCTCATGACAAAGAATGAGATGAATCTATATTTCAGGAAAACATTTATCTTTCACTAGCTTTATTATAGAAAGGTATCTGTTGGGACTTATTTAATTTGAAATAAAGGGAATTTTTGATCTGGAAAGAGCGGGTTCTTAAATCAGTTTTTAGTGAATTTCAGGTCCAGGACAGGAAGCAAATGCAACAGATCAGTAGACACTTATCTTTTACAGATCTTTGGATTTAGCTAGGTTATTTTGCTTTAGTTTCTATCTGCAAAATGATGGTAGTGTCATTTCTATCTTCCATAGAGGGGTTATGAGGATAAACTCTCTAAAACACTGTGGAAAAATAATATACAATGGTGTTACTGGCCATATAAGTATCTGTGATGGGTGGTGGCAAAAGCAGTGTTGTAATGGTAACTCAAGCTTATTCATGCAGCTCTGTCTGTGCACATCATATCT